TTTCGTCAAAAATCAAATGCACTGGTCAGCTTTTCAAGTCAACAAAAGGTCCAATATGGAAACAACCTTAAAAGTATAATTTATATTGCAATTATTGTAAACATATTAACTAAGAAAGAATTTTAAAAATGATTGTAAGATCATAAATGCTCTACTTTTGCATATTTCTAGTTAATTTCAGTCAAAAGTATATATTTTCTATACAAGTTTGTAAAAAAAAAAAAAAAATATTGTAAAATATAATTAGATTTAGTTTGTTTCTATTTTATCATAAAACAAATTATGTGGAGATTAATAATGCTGTTCAAGTTTAAAACATTGTATTCGATAAAGCAGCGGACCAATGTACCATAACAATGTACCAGTGAATGTTTGAATTTCACATTACCATTGTTGAAAATAAATTTAAATGTGTTGAATTTACAAATGTGTTAAAAATAAATGACATTGGACTACAAAAAAGGATTATGTGTCAAACAAATAAAAAAAAAAAAAAGTGTTCATAGCAGGAAAGGATGATTATACAAGACAGTCAAATATGAATTTAATACTAAATAATCAATCCAGAGACATACAAATTATTGTTATAGCAAAGCTAAACAAATTGTGTTGTGCAAAAAAAAAATAAAATTTTATCATACTATATGGAGAGTTAAAACAATGTTGCATAGACAATACTAAACCTCTACCATAGTAAATGTTACATACATACAAATATATTACATATGATATTGATTGAAAAAGAAATTTGTTAATACTGAAGTGGCTGACAATTTTTGTTGCGTATGTTCATATTGAGTCAAAGTCCACTAATGCATGTTGCATGAAGAAATATGATACAGAGTTGAGAAAACTCCTTAGAATAATACTAATATGTGAGATTAGCAATGTTGCATAACCTAAATGGTCATACTAAAATCTCAACATAACAGAAAATCAAATACTTATATATGAGTACAAAGGTACCATAAAGGAATTATTGTTGTATTTTATGCCGAAATAGGCCTGGCTTATCAATTACAGTCGCATATGATATATTAAGATAATGCCAAACAATTATGTATTTTTGTGTTTTGAAGACTTCAATAATTCTATTGTTGTCGCAAATTTAGCATAGGTAATTTTTATTACATTGTCAAAGACATATTTTTCGTGTCTAATGTAAGATTTTCTTTTTGAGATAATTTAATTTTAACATCAAGACTTATGTTTTAATTATCAATAAAGGAATACCATGTTAATTGCTATTTCTTCAAATTCACAATGATTTTTGTATATAAATGTGCACATTGATGAAATATTGTTGTATAATTATGAAAAACATAATGTGTAACTTACATGTAAATATAAAAAAAAATATATATATAAAAAAAATAATAGGAAGATACATATTGTAACTGACTAAGTGCTATTCAAATAGAAGATTTAAAAAAAATTGTAATTCCGAAAAAAAAAAAAAAACATTTTGAATACTAGTATGATCAATTTTGTATGTTTGTGTGTATAATTGAGGATCCGAACTGTTTGTATGATTTAGTATGTTTCTTTTATTGTATTCATTATGTTATATGACTATGATTGAGGACAATCATTTTATAAGGACAGGTGATGTGTAACATAGCATTTCCTTGTCAAAATGCTTTTACAAAACATTGATTATTTCAATATCCAAAAAATTAACTTTTACATTTTTAACAATCATTAAAAGAATTTCAAGTTGCATAAATATTTTGATAAAAATTACTTTTAGATTCTTAGCTGATAAATTTTACAACTATAGTATAAACATGTCATAGTGGTCAATAAGGAAATATTATCACCTTTTGATTTTAATACTTTATGGCTTAATTCTCAATTTCCTAGTCTTTTTATCAAACAAGCCATACTTGATTATCTTTTCACATTTATTGCTAATATAGCTTAAGGCTTAGTCACTATGACAACTCCTTCTTAATTTATATTGTTGATTTTTATATTTTGAATTAGTCTTATTTTTATTCCGAAACTAACAACATCTATAGTATTTAAAACATAAGCAAAATTCAGGTGCTAGCTGTGAAAATATTTATGTGGACTATATGATTATTTTGTATTTGAGAACTTTCAATGGGCTATAAAGAAATAAATGAAATAACATCATACTGGACTTTTGAGTTATAAAATAAGTCATCATAACAAAGAGGATACTGGATAATAATAATACACCAGTATCCCACACACACCTAACCAACCAAGGGTTTCCGTGTAGGGCGCTCACTACGCCAGCGAGTATTCCCCAAACGACCCCAAAGCGAAGGCCCTGCCGGTGACCCTTGGCTACAGATATTTGGAGTAGAACTCATTAAATTAACAGCTGTGATCTATTTAAAGCACTTACAGCAGAAAGATATTAAGAGTAGATCATATTAAAACTACAGCAGAGATCCATCTCAAGAATTCATGTACATTCACTTCACAACTCAAACACATTTTACAATTACTGTAAAATCATTATTATTCGTGGGGCACGAATTTTCGTGGTTTTCGTGTGTAGGTCAATCCACGAATTTAAGATCCAACGAAACTTTATCCCTAGAATTACTTCTAAACATGTCTCTATTCTTTACATGCATCAACGCTTTTTCCGACCGATTATTGTGTTGATGGTAAACAGACAATCAAGTTAGTGAAAGATTAAATCTATAAATAGTTTAGGTTTGCAATATTTAAGAAACTTGGAAAGAAAAGACGATTATATGTCCTCAATTTGCTGTCACAAATTTCGGTCGTATATACACATCACGAGACTGCTCGATTGTTGTAGGCTACTCGATTGTGTTACCAGAATACTTCATAAAACGAGTAAATGGGAAAACCCGTGTAATAATAGCGTAATGAAAAAAGCCCGTTTCTTTATTTAATCTTAAGAATTAAAAAAAAACTTTTTATAAAAAAGTTCGTAAGTTAAGTACATAAAACAATAAAAAAACAATCGCTAAAACGGGTGAATTGTCGTCTTTAAAAGATCCAGTTTAAATGAATTTTAATCTGTATGTGTTCGACTGCTATTCCGTAAACATCAAACACGCTGCCGACGTCAAGATCCGCACAACCCCGTGTTATTTACTCATATTAATTAATATAAATGCATGTAAATTTACACAGTCGATGTGATGTTGCCTGTAGTAACTGTCAAATATGGTGAGACAAATTCATGGTGTAAACTTTTTAAATTCGCTTGTTAAAACGTGTCAGGGGTCGTATAAATTATGCAATGTTTACATCGGCGAATCACAGGGGCAGTGTGTACAGTAGAGCTGCATATCATGACACAAAAATGTGTTAATGGCAGTCAATTTTCGGCAGTAACTGCTATCTTTATGTTATGCCCAGAGGCAAGGATTAGATTATTGACAAGCGCTGTGTGAAACGTCAAGATATGTACATGCGGTTAGTAAAAATACGCGGCGATTTAGTGAGATTATTTTTTCTTTAGGTTATTTTTTTTTTTTTTAAAGAAAATGAAAATCCACGAATTTATGAACCCACGAAAATGCCCGTTTTGATAAAACCATGAAATTTCATGCCCACGAATATAAGTGAATTCGCAGTACATACATTAAACATCCTATTGTACAAAACAATTTATGAGATAGAGACAACTTGAGCCGCATCACGACAAAACGAACATAATGGGTTTGCGACCAGCATAGATCCAGACCAGCCTGCGCATCTGCGCAGTCTGATCAGGATACATGCTGTTCGCTTACCAACCCTATAACAAGTAGAGAAACTGATAGCGAACAGCATGGATCCTGATCAGACTGCGCGGATGTGCAGGCTGGTCTGGATCCATGCTGGTCGCACACCCATTATGTTGGTTTTGTCATGACGCGGCTCGATTAATTAAAAACTAGAAATGTGTCCATAGGACACGGGTGCCCCCACCGCGCCACTCTTCTGTCAATCTTTTTACTAAGTCAAGGGAAATAACTCTACAAATACTGGATAAATCCACAAGCGAAACCCCAGGTGCAAATCTAAATATGCTGAGCAACCTGCCCATAAGGTTTAATGACTATGTCAAATCCTTTTTGAGTAACTTGAGACACAAGTTGAAAATTGCAAAAAATTTCTAAGTGAAGGGCAATAACTCTAAAAATACTAAAAATATCCACACGAAAATACCCAGGTGCACAACTACACATGCTGATCAACATTCCTGTAAAGTTTCATGACTCTAGGTCAAATACTTTTTGAGTTACATGCGACACAAGTTGAAAATTGCAAAATTTTACTAAGTCAAGGGCAATAACTCTGAAAATACTAAAAATATCCACACGAAAATACCCAGGTGCACAACTACACATGCTGATCAACATTCCTGTAAAGTTTCATGACTCTAGGTCAAATACTTTTTGAGTTACATGCGACACAAGTTGAAAATTGCAAAATTTTACTAAGTCAAGGGCAATAACTCTGAAAATACTAAAAAATATCCACACGAAAATACCCAGGTGCACAACTTCACATGCTGATCAACATTCCTGTAAAGTTTCATGACTCTAGGTCAAATACTTTTTGAGTTACATGCGACACAAGTTGAAAATTGCAAAATTTTACTAAGTCAAGGGCAATAACTCTAAAAATACTAAAAATATCCACACGAAAATACCCAGGTGCACAACTACACATGCTGATCAACATTCCTGTAAAGTTTCATGACTCTAGGTCAAATACTTTTTTGAGTTACATGCGACACAAGTTGAAAATTGCAAAATTTTACTAAGTCAAGGGCAATAACTCTAAAAATACTAAAAATATCCACACGAAAATACCCAGGTGCACAACTACACATGCTGATCAACATTCCTGTAAAGTTTCATGACTCTAGGTCAAATACTTTTTGAGTTACGTGCGACACAAAAGGGAACGGACGGAAGGACGGACGGACGGACGGACAAGGGTAAATCTAAATGCCCGCCACTAACGTGGGGGCACAAAAATATGGATATATTAACCTCTATAGCCTTCAGGACTATTGGTATCACAAGCCCAAAATAACATTGAGGTATTAATAAAGTTAACAACGTCTTCATTGCCGAGAGTATTTCTGCAGAATCTGTCTGAATCCTGGTGGTCCATACCATGTAGATATACCAATAGGAAACGAAGCTCTGTCTTTGCATCATTTAAAGCCTGAAGTAAATAAATAGATATATAATAATGCAATTTTTGGAGGCCAGTATCTACAAGTCTTAAAATGCATGTTACTGAAACACGGGCAAAAACTGAACAACAGTGTTGCATTATAATCAGAAACTGTATATTCATAACATCATGAAAAGTATCTGTTCACTAATAATAAGGTTAATAATCATTTAAGCATCCAGATAGCCTTGTCGGTACAACCACAGTATAAAGCCAATTGAATATGATGTAATAATGACTAGTAAAATCACTAAAATGTCTTACTGACCAAGGTGATGGCACCAGAATGCTTTTGTATGAAAGTCAAATTATTATTTTGTTTACATTATGCCATTTTTAGGACAAATAATTTTAAACTATTAAGTGCTATGACTTTTTTCAAGTGACAAGTATCTAAACATGCTCTAAAAACATTATGAAACTCATGCTTGCCCTTTATAAAGAAGTAAGAAAATTCCATTTTTATGAAATCAGGATAAATATGAAACAGATATTTTTTGTATGTAATAGTTCCAGTGTTTTTAGTTGAACAACAGTGATTTGGTTATCTATAACTTGTGCATAACAACATTATACCTGACTATATGAACCTTGATAGAACACAGGATGGTTTTCTCCGTACTTCTCATTATATGTTTGCAGGAACCGCACTACATCACCTACTGGGTCTGTTACATCTGAAGTGAGACTGAACAGTGCTTTAAGGTCTACAATTATATTATCTTGATATGTAAACTGCTTATAATGATGTGTTACAACCTTATCAGATAACTTGAATCATTTTTTTAACACAACACTCCACCTACATTTAGGCAAGGAATGTCAAAAAATTTAATAAATGGAAAATGGTACATGTGTAATTGTGTAAAATAAATGCAATAAATGGGAACAGGTTGTATGAAGTTAATAAATTGATAACACAGTGAAGTTTGTTTGTTTGGGTTTTACCCCACACCGACACAATATAGGTCATTTGGCGACATTCCAGCTTTACAGGTGGAGGGAGACCTCAGGTGCCCTTCCGTGCATTATTTCAGGCACGAACAGGCACCCGTGTTGAACCACCGACGTTCGGTACGCTAGCTGGATAGCTTCCTCACATAAAAGAATCCAAAGTCCCTGTAAGATTCGAACCCACAGCGATGAGGGGCAAGTGGTTTGAGGTCAACAACGTTAACCGTTCGGCCACGGACGCCCCTAAAAAACACAGTGAAGATTTATACAAAAGTTAAGTGATTTTCATGTATTTCCATGTAGCTGTGTGTAGACACGTTATTTGTCTATTTTTAGAAATGTCAGTGACTCTAGGAAAATAGAGCATACTTACTTCTTCTAGGATCTGGCCGCAATATTTGAACTGAAATCAAACATAGAAAGTTTTACCCTGTGAACTTTTATTTCAAAATGTATCAAATTTTGTACAAGGTAAAACAAAGCTTCTTAAAATGAAGTGTGTCCCACTTCTTCTGCACTCTGCTAAAAATTGTACCAAAACCTACTGTACAACTGAAAAAATATTTTTCAAAATTCAAGTTTAAATAATACAAGTAAATACAATTAAGATAAAAAAGATTTGAGTGAAGTTTTAAAATCAATATGATTCTAACTTCTTTCAAAAAAAATTTAAAACTGTATGTCAATTCAATTAAATTAATAATATAATTAAACAAAGGTAGATCATTTAATATAAAAGAATAGTAATAAAACATTAAACAACTAAATAAGCTTTCAACACAATCAAACTAAAATAAATGCATATGAAATAATCTTTGTGTTCTTTTATCTTATCTTGTCATTCACAAGGCAATGTATAAAGAACTTACATGCAAATCTGATGATATCTAACAATGTAGTGTAAACAAATCTGAATGGTAGAGTGATAATGTAATATCCCCACTGTACAATGCCCTGTGGTTGTTGAGCCTGCACAGTGAATATCCTGAAACAAAAATCAACCAAATATTAGACATTTATCACTAACAAGAGCACTGCAAAGCCAGCGAATCATCATTTAAATGCAAAAAAGTAGCCTCACTATGTCAGAGTACTGATTTTGTTCTGTCCCAGTAACTAGACACTGTGGTACGAAAAACTTTTTATGGTAATAGACATTTGGGCATTATCCATTAAAATATCATACAGCCCAAACAAATTTTAACTAGCCCGGAAAATTCTAACAAAAGTTGTGCCAAGGTTTTTCAAATTTACTTAAAACTGGAGAAAATAATGCAAAGTGATATCACTTGATTAACATTTATTTCTGATATTTCTAGGCAGAATGTACAGTAGACTGAAACTCAAGCCAGGGCTCACGCTGTCGGTCGCCATAGTCGCCATTTGCGATTATTTTATAAGATTGGCGATTATTTTTGCATTTTGGCTACAAAATCTGGCGATTATTTTTTACTTCCAACAGTGTTTATATAAGGTGTAAAAATCGATAATGAATGCAGTAGACCCAATTAACACCAGCGGGGTGCATTTAATTGAGTGTCAACTTTTTACCGGTCACGTGGTGCTAACTATATTGCCCGAGGTGATAAAATACATGCGAGATGTATAATTGTATAAGTACTTTAAAGATATTGTCCAGCATTTATAATAGCCATCAAATATCCGTCAATTAGCCACAAAAATCGTTTTAAAATTGATAAACTGGATATTGACTTAGCCAAAATTTACCGTGATTTGCAGTAATTGCAAATTTTGATATTTTTTTTTGTTTTAAGCTACTTAACTAAATCGCCAGTGGAAAACAATGGTAAAATATTTAAAAAGTATAAACTTCCAAACAACTATTTGCACAACAACCAAAATTGTGAATATTTCTTCAGAAAACAGGAAAAATCCGATTGTCACATATTTTCGCGACACCGATAATTTTGATATTTATTTAAAGGTGAAATAAGCTATGTTCTGTTTAAAAATCTTTACTACTATGGCAGAAAATTTGTATAACATTGGTGATGATGATATTTTTCAGTAAATTACGCAGAAAAAAGGCTGCATTCTGTAAATGAGTTTGCAAACTTGTGTTATTTCTATAGCTAATATCAGAATATGACATAGATAATTGACAGTGGTTATGATAAGCTGACAAAATTTGATTAGAACAAACAAGAAAGTTGTCTGATAACAGCATTATGTAAAGTTATAATGAATCTTTAATATTATTGTTGTACAGTAATTATACGAATTATAATGTTTTTATTCTGTTCTATAATAACAATTAAAGTTGTGGTTCTATTTTAAAAAAGGTAGTTATCAATATACACAAATGTGTCAGTTTATTTGAGAATCCTTATAAAACTGAGAAAGTTTTATATGTAATGTTTATTTAATCAACTGCTTATGTTGTTAATCGCTAAATAGTAAATAGTCCGCTAAACTTTTGGCTATTATTTTTTTAAGTTGAAAATATTGGCTATTATTTCATTTGAGCCAGTGTGAGCCCTGTCAAGCGTCATATGATTTCATTTAGCTTACCCCTCTGGCGTCATAGCTAATACTCTAAATAAAACAAGATATGTTTGTAAAACATGTATGCCCCCTATCAGCAGCCAATAAGTCATGTGATAAGGTTATTATGCATGACTTCTGACCCAGTGATCAAACAATTAATAAGGGTTATCAAGTATCTACTGGTCATGACCTTAACCTTTGACCCCTTGACCCAAAACTCAATAGGGGTCATCTGCTGGTCACGACCAATCATCATACAAAGTTTGAAGTTCCTAGGCCTAAGCGTTTTTAGTTAATTGATCAGAAACCGTTTTTACCTACAAGGTCAATGTGACGTTGACCTTTGACCACTTGACCCCAAAATCAATAGGTCATCTGCTGGTCATGACCAATCACTATACCAAGTTTGAAGTTCCTAGGCCTAAGGGTTCTTTAGTTATTGATTGGAAACCGTTTAAACATACATCGTCAATGTGACCTTGACCTTTGACCCTAAAATCAATAGGGGTCATCTGCTGCTCATGACCAATCACCATACCAAGTTTGAAGTTCCTAGGCCGAAGTGTTCTTTAATTATTGATCAGAAACAGTTTTTACTTACAATGTCAATGTGACCTTGACCTTTGACCCCTTGATCCCAAAATCAATAGGGGTAATCTGCTGGTCATGACAAATCACCATGCCAAGTTTGAAGTTCCTAGGCCTAAGCGTTCTTAAGTTATTGATCAGAAACCGTTTTTACTTACAAGGTCAATGTGACCTTGACCTTTGACCCCTTGACCCAAAACTCAATAGGGGTCATCTGCTGGTCACGAACAATCATCATACTAAAGTTGAAGTTCCTAGGCCTAAGCGTTTTTAGTTAATTGATCGGAAACCGTTTTTACCTACAAGGTCAATGTGACCTTGACCTTTGACCCCTTGACCCCAAAATCAAAAGGTCATCTGCAGGTCATGACCAATCACCATACCAAGTTTGAAGTTCCTAGGCCTAAGGGTTCTTAAGTTATTGATTGGAAAGCATTTTTACCTACAAGGTCAATGTGACCTTGCCCTTTGACCCCTTAACCCCAATATCAATAGGGGTCATCTGCTGGTCATGACCAATCACCATACCAAGTTTGAAGTTCCTATGCCTAAGGGTTCTTTAGTTATTGATAGGAAACCGTTTTTACCTAAGAGGTCAATGTGACCTTGACCTTTGACCCCTTGACCCCAAAATCAATAGGGGTCATCTACTGATCATGACCTATCACCATATCAAGTTTGAAGTCCCTAGGCCTAAGGGTTCTTTTGTTATTGATCGGAAAACCGTTTTTACCCAAGAGGTCAATGTGACCTTGACCTTTGACCCCTTAACCCAAAAATCAATAGGGGTCATCTGCTGGTCATAACCAACCGCCATACCAACTTTGAAGTTCCTAGGCCTAAAAGTTCTTTAGTTATTGATCGGAAACCGTTTTCGCTTACAAGGTCAATGTGACCTTGACCTTCGACCCCTTGACCCCAAAATCAATAGGGGTCATCTACTGATCATGACCAATCACCATACCAAGTTTGAAGTTTCCTAGGCCTTAAAGTTCTTTAGTTATTGATCGGAAAACCGTTTTTCCTTACAAGGTCAATGTGACCTTGACCTTTGACCCCTTGACCCCAAAATCAATAGGGGTATCTGCTGCTTATGAACAATAACCATACAAATTTTAAAGCTCCTAGGCCTAAAGGTTCTTTAGTTATTGATCGGAAAACCGTTTTTTGCTGACAAGGTCAATGTTGACCTTGACCTTTGACCCCTTGACCCCAAAATCAATAGGGGTCATCTACTAATCATGACCAATCACCATACCAAGTTTGAAGTTCCTAGGCCTTCAGGTTCTTTAGTTATTGATCGGAAACCGTTTTTCCTTACAAGGTCAATGTGACCTTGACCTTTGACCCCTTGACCCCAAAATCAAAAGGGGTCATCTACTGATCATGACCAATCACCATACCAAGTTTGAAGTTCCTAGGCCTTAAGGTTCTTTAGTTATTGATCGGAAACCGTTTTTCCTTACAAGGTCAATATGACCTTGACCTTTGACCCCTTGACCCCAAAATCAATAGGGGTCATCTACTTGTCATGACCAATCACCAAACCAAGTTTGAAGTTCCTAGGCCTAAGGGTTCTTTAGTTATCACTCGGAAACCATTTGGTCTACGGACCGACGGACCGACAAGTGCAAAGCAATATACCCCCTTTTCTTCGAAATGGGGGCATAATAAATTTGCATACCCCTCTCAGTCATTATAAATACCCCTCTCAGTCATTATAAATACAACTGACATAAATGATTCTACATATAAATTACTTTGGAAGATTTTGTGCCACTACCTTGAAAAAAATCAATATTTCCCTCAGTCATTGGGTATGTTATAACATTGCTAGACTGTTGGACTACGCTCCCTAAATTTAATGCTAGCCCGGACAGAATTTTACTAGACTGGGACTCGGGCTTTACCTATTTTTCGCAGACTGTTAGTAATGAGGACCCATGCTAGCCCCGACAATCCCATTGTATCAGGATTGGACTGTATTTAAAACAAATAAAGATAAAACATGTTACAGAAAGACAATAGACACTCGATCACAAATGAGCACACTGCTTTAACTTAAGTTAGATAATGTATATTCAGTGAGTAACTTTAACACTAAATGTTATATTGATTCAATGATATATTTTATTACTACTAAAACAAACATACCTTTGATCTGTGGGTTCAAGATTCATAGGAGGGGTTCTTGGCTCTTCAGGTGGTTCATTGAAGACTGATTGTCGACCTTCTTGTTCATTAAATGTGTCTTGTACAGCTACCTAAACGAACATCTTACGCATGTATTACAAACGTATAATTATGATTTTTCAGTGAAACACAAATTTTAAATTTACTTCTGTACAATTCGGTGAACTTCTGGCACAGCCATTGTACATGTTATATAACTCCTGGATATAATAATGAATTAAGTCTTTTAACAGAGCACCTGATACAAAGTATAATTGTTTTACAATGTATGTAAAAAAAATGTTATAAATCTTAAAATCTGGTAACTATGGTATTTTAGCTGCTGGTTCTTTCCACATAATAATATTATGTAAATTGTTAATTATTTTAGTTAAAAAGTAGCATAACTCCAAAAATATTGCTTTCACAATTATGTCCCTTGTCTCACAACTGTATTTTGTCAAAATAAGCAAGTATACCAATTTTCAAGTTGATTCCTTTAGAAATGTTTGGATAATGGGCAACATTAAAGTTTTTGCAAGACAAAAACAACACAAACAATGCCCTATACTATAGACCACAAGTCAAGGGTTTGCCATTTTCCTCAAAACAGACAAGCTAAAATTGATACAAAAACAGGGTTGCCAGCATCATAGATAAATAAAATTCCCTGACTTTTCCCTGACTTTTCACTGACCAAATTAGGTTTTTCACTGACCAAACCTACCAAACTTAAACGGTCTCCACCTCCCCTACACCCGTCCAATTCACCCCAGGGCTTTTTTTCCTTCTATAGCAGGGGCCACTATAAGACTGTTTCCCCAAAAAGAAATTCTTTAAAATCATGCAGTTTTCCCACAAAATAGAATTTACATCAAGTTTTTTCTTCCCCTTTTGCAAATATACCATTAATTTATCCCAAAAATTAAGGGCAGGGCTGCTTCCCCAACCTGTGAAAAAAAGCCCTGCACCCAAAAAGTTTTTTTATTGGTTTTTTTAATGCTTTTAACAATATGGTCAATAAAACATGCTTTATACATCTAAGTTTGGTAGTTTTGTGTTCAGTAAAATGTTTTTGATAAGATCAAGTCTGAAGCAAAACTATTATCTTGAGCTACAGAATACTGCCATAGCCAATATAATTAATAACAAGAGGGTCATGATGGCCCTGAAATTACTCATCTGAATATAAAAACTCTCCATGAACAAGAATAATTTTGACCCCAGGGCTTTTATTTGAACAAAGTTGGTAAATATCTAAGCTCTAGCTCTTTTGTTTTTTAAAAGAAGACTTTTTAGTTTTTATTATATATACATATAAGGAAAATCAATGAACCCCATGACTGGACCAGTTTTGACCCCAGGGCTTTTATTTTAACAAAAAAAACTTGGTAGACACTTACTAAAAGATGTTTCATGCCAAATATCACAGCTCTACCTCTTTGGGTTTTTCAAAGAAGATATTTCTTTTGTTTTTTACTATGTACATAAAAGGAAAATCTGGGGTGGGGCATATTTTGACCCAAGGACTTTTATTTGAACAAACTTGGTAGACACACACTAGAAAATGTTTCATGCTTAATGTCTAAACTTTAGCTCTTTTGGGTTTGTTACAAGAATTTTTAAGTTTATATAAACATATAAGGAAAATCAATGACCCCCTTGACTGGGAAAATTTTGACCCAATGGCTTTTATTTGTACAAAATTGGTAGACACTCACTGAAGATGTTACATGCTTAATATCTAAGCTCTAGCTCTTAAAAGAGGTGAACATGGTTTTTTTCCAGTTTTTACTTCATACATATAAGGAAAATTCTTCAAAATTATTTTTCCCTGACTTTTCCCTGACTTTTCCCTGACTTTTTAGGATTTTTATTCTTCACTGACCAATTTTCAAAATTCCCTGACAATTCCCTGACCTTGAAAAAATATCAGATTTCCCTGACTTTTCAAGTCTGCTGGCAACCCTGAAAAATGTTCTTCAAAACTGCTAAAAATGACATTTACATACTTCAATATCCCAATTATGTCTCTCAAGAGTTTGTCTACATCTGTCTATTTCTTCTATTCCAGTTAAATCCTGAAATATAAAACATTTATAAATTATATCTTTAAAATTATAATTGGTTTACCACTGTCAAAAAACCTGTATATGTAATAGGTCCAAATGATTTACATGACATAAAATACTAAAAGGAAAAAGAGCTGTCCAATGAGAAGAGCATTCCTCTTCACTTCATACAGCTGGATAGTAAATTGCTTATTTTCTAGATAAAAAGTCCTTTTGACCTGAAAATGCACGAGACAGACAAAACTCATCTAGATGCATCTATATATATTTCATTAAGTTTCAATGTCATAATTGAAAGACTTAAATCAAAAAGTTAATGTCATTTTTACCTTGACCTTTGACTGAAAATAAGACAAGTAAGACTTCAAAGTGGATATGAATATAAAAGTTTCTTTGTTAATGCATTTAAATGGTCAGTTATATGTAAATTGCCCATGTTCAATATTTTGTTTGTTTTGGTCATTTGTGACCCTCTGTATAAAATTATGGGGGTCATTTGACATTATGAAGGGTCATATTAAAAAAAGTAAAATTTACAAAAGTAAATCTCAGGAACTGTTTGATTTCACATGTTAACTTCAATTTCTCATGTTTTGTGATTGCAAACGAAAAATCTTCTAAGGAAAGCCAAGGCTTATTTGCATTTAAACATTTAACCTTTCAGGCATCTGTTTATTGCATAAACTTTGATATTTTGACCATTTAAGCCTCTATCTTTCATGGTATGTTTGCCATTGTGAAAAAAGCGTCTGCATCGCTTGTTTACCCAGACCTAACATGTCTTAATCACAGATACAGTGACTGATTGTAGACCAGTAAAATCAGACAGAAATTGTGCCAATAACACAGAATTAGTGAGCAATTTATACATACACTCAGTTAATACCAGAAATAAATAAATTTTGGATACACAAACAATAATTGCCAATTCAAATGGGATGGTGCTTATAATAGGAGAAATAACTTAATCTATCCTGACATAGACGTGTCTGCGCATCAAAAATCGCAAGCAAGTTAAAAAGAGTAGTTTAAAAGAGAATGAAATAATATTAAAATGTTAAAAACAGGGGCTGGAAAACTAGGGTGACACATGTTCGATGCAGGCTATGGATGCACCAAACTGCCCTGGGTTAGGGAGTAGGGCTACTGCAAGGGGGTAGGTGGTTCCAGTGGTATACCAATCTAGGAAAGAATGAGAATTTATAATAGTCTAAGGTTTATACCGATCTAGGAAAGAATGAGATTAAGAATTTATAATAGTCTGAGGTTGCTGTGAATAACCTATAACATAAGGGATGGCCATGGTGTCATGTTCTGGAGAGGGCTGTCAAATATTCTTCTATTGGGATAGCAACCAGACCATGGTGAAGCTTATAGAAAAGGGATAACGTAGCATCTATACGTCCGAGTTCCAGTTTTCTAAGCTTAAAGGAGTGCAGCATGTCTGTGACGCTAGAGGTCTGACCATAATCTAGCTTAATCAGTTGGGCTGCACTTCTTTGGACATTTTCGATTTTTCGATTTACTTGTGTCTTGGTGTGGGGAGACAATACTTCGGAACCGTATTCAAACTGGGGTCTGACTAACGTCTGGTAAGCAATGGAATTAATGGATTGGGATTTAATGAAAAGACCTCCAATTGGCAATTAAGGTTGATTATGACTGCATCATAGATAACATGCTTTGCAAATTTCAATGCGTCATTTGTGAACTTTTTGCATCAAAAACACAAGAAACGCAGAGTAGGGGAAACACTGAGCAAGCCAAAAATTTGCTTAAAATCATTAGCAGCTGTTCTAGGAAAGAATGAGAATTTATAATTGTAGAAAAACAAGCTATAAACCATCATAAGTGCTATAAACCTATTATCTCAAAAAGTGACCAATTTGAACATTCATTCTTTCCTAAGACTATTAGTGATTGGAATAACTTAGACAGTGCCGTTGTGTGCGCAGAGACAGTACAGAGCTTTAAAACAGCTCTCCAACAGTGCTACTAAATTACTTAGCTCCTCTCTCCCGCTGCGTACATACCGGAAGGTTCTGCAGTGTATACATTCAGATTCAGATAATAGTCTAAGGTTTATACCGATCTAGGAAAGAATGAGATTGAGAATTTATAACAGTCTGAGGTTGCTGTGAATAACCTATAACATATACATGACACAAAATTTGAATTTTTAGTCTTTTCTGTGTCCAGTACTTCAAATGTTCTGCTGATGCCGTGTGTCTCTCCACAACGTGCACGTACTGTGCGTAAAAGGTATAAACATTGTCCACGTACTGTTGGCAAGAGGGATAAAAACTATCATACCTATTTATAGAAAATCCATGTCCATGTCATGAAATTATGTCTAAATTTTGCAACTTTAAAAGCATAGAATCTAAACATGTAGGCATTATTTATGAATCACATAAGAAGTAAACGAAGGAGATTTATTTGTACATATGTTGTAATTTGTCTAAAACTTTTCATATCTTTTGCTTACCTGAAATTGAATTAATTTCTCCGTTTGGTCAGGAGTCAAATCTTCTGCTTCGGCCATATTTAGTCGAACTACATCCGGTAGTGAACTATCCCTGTCTCTCCGTACCTAAACCGTAAAGTCTACCGTAGAGATAATTATTATAACGCTATTTTCTATTTATTTTAGCAGGGTCTTTCAAATTTTCTATTTGAAAGACCCTGATTTTAGTTATAGATAGATAATCATCAAACAATTCAAACATTGGCTATTCATTATCATGCCTCCTGCTGTAGTTGTACCTTTATGATAAGAAAAGAAGAAAAAAAAAAGAAAGTTGATTCAATCAGTACATGTATCTCATTAAAAAACAAAAAACAAACACAAACTGCAATTCTAGGTATTACGGTTCCGAAATAAGAATAGGTTCAAAATCTCGTGACTGTAAACAGGTTTCCGTATCTATCACATTCAAATTTACATGTTAGTAAAAGTGCATGGTGACATTAATGAATAATACTGAGACGTCGTCATCGAACTAATGAACTGTCAATCAGTTAAGCCGAGCCTGCAATATTTTCAATATTGCCATTTTTGACGTTCTTTGATGATTTTATTTCTCGTCTAATAGATCAGATGATGCTCTTCTTTATATTTAAGTTTTGGTAAGAAAACGTATACATATATATATAGTAGTGACAAGTAAAATATTTTTTCAGATGTTAAACAGTTTTTAAACAATTTTGGAAATTAATTCTTTTGCATTCATATTAAGATCACAGTTTCTGTTTTCACACAAATACATTTGCAATATTAAGTAAATAATATGAATGAATAAGTCAGTATTTTGCTAATGTACAAGCAATATGCGTGTATGAGTTATGTGCCTAGACAGTGCACGAGTAACGCATGCAATGCTTGTACGAGTGATGTGCCGACAGTGCACGAATAAAGCATGAATTATGTGCCTACAGTTTAGAGTTACCCAAACAGTGCTTGTATGGGTAATACTCATACATTGCACGAGTTACGCATACAGTGTCTGTATGCGTTATGTGCCTAAGTGCACGAGTTGCGCCTACAAGTTACGCCCAGTACCTGTACATTTCATTACAACGGATTATGAATATAACTTCACTCGATGTATATAAGAATTTCAAATTTTATGTTTTGAAGCTTTTTTCCTAAGTAAAGCTGCTTAAATAATATTGAATGACAGGCAATTTCCTCAACAGGATGATGAACCTGTATTTTTATAACTGCATTCATATACTCGCATTTAGCATATACATTAATATTGATATTAAAGTACTCATTAATAATGATTTACGATAATAATTGATATAAGCTAACGATTTCTTGTATGTATTTTATATGTTATATTGAATTTAGAAATAAAACTGTATCGCATTAAAAGCTTATGAAATGAAACGTTTTCCAATTCGGTCTGTCGCTTCAACCGAACATCGAGTTTGGGTTTTTAACAGGCAATGAACATGGCGACAATTTATAACGCGGAAATATAAAAATATTTTTTTTTTGAAAATGATGAAATTAATAAACACGTTCATTTCCTCGTATACATGTACATATATCATTCAAAAAGTATAAATTACTGTTTCGAACATGAAGAAACGTTTACTAGACTTAACGCTTATTGTTTTGATATATTCAATAATTTTTGATAAAGGTAAGAATTTCGTATCTATTTTAATTGTTTTAATGGGATTTAATGGTTTAATTTAGACGTCCTACCACGTTACGTTGGCGTTCTACTTGAACGGCTGCTGTAAATTTATGAAATAACCAACGAAAGAATTCTTATGAATTCGTTATTTAAAGATTTTCCACATGTTATATGACCGTGTTTGCTATGATAACCACTGTCTTGAGACTCGGGTCAGATAAACATTTCAACCGTGTCTTCTGGGTCATATGGCCCCTACAATATCTTAGATTTATAAAGTCATATTGAACAGCACGTCAAATTATTATTCTAAAAACATACAGCACACGCACAAATGAGCCGTGTCACGACAAAACCAACATAATGGGTTTGCGACCAGCATGGATCCAGACCAGTCTGCGCATCCGCGCAGTCTGATCAGGATCCATGCTGTTCGCTATCAGTTTCTCTACTTGTTATAGGGTTTGTAAGCGAACAGCATGGATCCTGATCAGACTGCGCGGATGCGCAGGCTGGTCTGGATCCATGCTGGTCGCAACCCCATTATGTTGGTTTTGTCGTGACGCGGCTCAAATAATACATGTTTATTATTTCAGGTTATTGTCAAGAGGATATAGAACAAGGGGTTTATCATGCTGAGTTTCGTAAGTCAAATCAATCATTATAACAAACAGAATGAATTCGCGTAAAACTTCTATGTCCACACATTTAAGTGGGGACAGGGGTCAAATCACATAATGACTGTAAGCCTTAATAGAGGGGCGGGGTGTAAGAACGTGTTTTGTCAGTCTTTCTGTTCAGTTGCTATTAGTTTAGGGGCAAATATCCGTTTTCCCGTCGAGAAACATGAGTATTCAACGATTATTCATGATTTTCATGAAAAAGGTTTTATATATAATTTACATGTAAAAGTATGATTGTGATAAAAAACTTTCAATTATAACTTTATTTCACTTTTGTTTTTACAAAATCCTGTAGTCTTACTTGTATTTATGTACAGTTAAAATTTTGTTAATGATCACCTCTGAATAAGGACCCCTCTAAATAAAGGTCATTCTTCGACATTCCTTTATAATTTTAGAAATAACAAAAAAATAAAAAAACAAAAAAAAACAACAACCCCCCCCCCCCCCCCCCCAAAAAAAAAAAAAACAAAAAAAAAAAAACTCAAAATAAAGCCCACTTTTCTTTAAACGCATGTTCGGCCTCTCCCTTGGATTACTTTTTTTCACAGGTTTGACTGCATTTATAGGTTTTCAATGTTTTTATATTATTTTTAATTTACAGAAGGCCGGAAATGTATTGCGCAAATGAAACCTGTTGAGGACCCGAACATGGAATACATAAATCATCTCGAGATAGAGGGCTACAAATTTCCTTTCTACTGTTCTCGAGGTATTTTTTGAAATATTATTTTACTCAGAAGAAAAAATGTCGCAAGAAGATGTTTTATTAAAATATACAGGAAGTGCAAACTCTTACGAAAATTAAATCAAAACGTTCAAATTAGGTTTTTATAACTCTGCACATTATAGAACATCAATATTAAAGGGACTCCACTGAGGTTTTTTGACCTGACGGGACTGGAACTAATTTTTTGAGTTTATTACTCCATTTGATGTAGATCTAGACTATACTTATAAACTATGTGCAAAATTATATATAAGATAATTAACTCCCTCCGTTTTTCCATAATAATTATTATTATAGTGAAAAATGAGCCAAAATTGAAAAACGTTTAAACGCTTTTCACTCAAATTGGACTGAGAATTACACAAACATGATTTTCAATGTATTTCTTGTATATTTCTTGGTTATATTTTATTTATATTTCTGTTTAAAGCGCTCATGTTTATCTATGTGAAAAATTAAAATTTTATGTTTTTAAAAGTGGAGTTCCTTTAAAGCAGCGTGCCTCCAGATTCATACTAATTTCGTGATCTTTTTTATAAAATGTACTAAAACGTAAAATATTTTCAAGTGAACAAAGAAAAGTAATTTACACATTATAAACACATTGTAAAAAAATAATATTTAAGGCTATGATAGTGTCACACACTGTCTATTTTACCTTCACGGTGTTATGTAATATTATGCTTCATGTATTTACCGAATACCATGCGCCCGGCTAGCTCAGTCGACTTTTAAGGCTGAGGAACCTCTGATATCTGAGGGTCGTGTGTTCGAGTCCCCCGTTGGGCGTAATACTTTTATTTGACTGTTTTCTATTTTTCTACATTAATGCACGCATTTTTAGCAACAATATTGCTTTATTTTTCGTAATCGTTTCAAAGGAATCTAATAGCTTATTAAGCTCATTATTTTATTATGACTATCTTTGCCGTGCACGTTTTTAAGACCTGTTTCAACTACTTTGGAACATTTGAGCATGTTTTCTTACGACAGTTCTTGTTTTAAAGAAAATAAATCATAAGATAGATAGATAAGATAGATAAAATATAAATATATTTTGTGTGTATCGTAAAACTTAATAAAATTGAACCAGGAATATATTAAAATTGAGGTCTAAACATCGTCAACAAAGCTTTTGCTCTTTTTCTCTTTCAAAACGGTCGTTTTAATAAATGTGGTTTGTGTTTTACAGCTACCGAAGAAGCGACTCAAAATAAAGACGAACTTCTGACTGAGGTGGCTAGAGAAAATACCGAAGTTGATGAAAAATCAACAGATACAATCAAAGATGAATTATAGCATTGTGATATGACAGAAGACCGGGGAGCATCGTCATGAGTGGATACTGTTTGTTAGCTAACATTCACTGTGTCAATTATTTCTTTTTATTTGACTCCTTATATAAATACGAGGGTTGGTCAAAAAGTAATAGGACTGCAGCTCTACTGTTCACATTTTTAAATTTACGTTCACAATTTTACAAGAGACAAAATTTAATATCGGAACATGTCCTCTATATACACTGAAAAAATCAATACATAACAATTCTGTGAAAATTTTAAAATGATAAACGTACGCGTGCCGGCGAGCATTAAAACACAATGATGTCGCAAAAGAAATACAAAATATAGCATTTTCTTACAGAAAGTATTCTCCCTAGGGCTCTAAGTGTCTGAACCATGTTACTATAAATTAAGTCTCGTTTGTGGAAATGAAGAGAGAAATAAAGCGATCACATTCTTATTCCACTTCCCGAAAGAATTGCCCGGTATAAATATTCTCTTCTATTGAGCACAGACTATTATTTATTAACCTTTTACTCCATGAGCATAATTATTGCGAAAAATGGTCGTTTTCATTGAAAAGCCTCCTGTAACAAGTTCAAACTGCTATGAAACTATGGGAAATGCTTTAATACTGATGAAACTTGGCACAAATGTTAACTAGACCACAGCCTTTGTAACACCATGCTCAATCGTAAATTTCCTGTTACCATGGCAACGGGGGACGTCTCAAAATTGCCAAAAATCACTATTTTGCATTGTTTTTTTCCCCCATCAAAACTGATTTCAAAGTGCTGCAACTTCTCAATGAATTGAGATAGAGTAAAAGGCTTTTCAGCGTCGGTTACTAGTTACCCTAAGATCGACCTGAGGCCATTTTTAGCCTGTCACATGTCCAAACTTTTCTTGACGATGAGGGGGACTTCCGCCCCCCTTCAAACCCCCCAAACAGAAAGGGGCACATCCCCTCAACCCCCTGATGTAACATTTGGATGGGGGACGGCGCCAAAAAAGTGGTCACTTTTTTAACAACATTTCTCAAACGCAAAACAGTGTTTTGGGCCATTTTGTCACTGTTTGAGGCCTCAAAAAGGGGGGGGGGGGGCAAAAAGCCGTCAAAACACGCTTATATAAGGGAAAAGGTTAAACAAAATCGGGGAAAATAATACTAATAATTACCGGGTATCATTATTATATTAATTTATTGATATAGAAATACAGTAAAAACCCTCAATTAAAACCACCTTCGGGACTGGACTAAAGTGGTCTTATAAATTTAAATTGCGGGGTGGTCTTAATTGTGAATATTCTCATCAATGCTTACACACTTTTTGACCATGGTCTATTTTAGTCATTTTGTATGAACAAACAAAATATATATACCTGCAAATACAACTTAAAAGTATGTTATAAATTAACATCTGATGGGGTGAAAGAAATTTTATATCAAATTCTGTTTTGTCTGATTTCAATATCAATTTCAATATTAATTATTATATGATGTAAATAATTCACCCATCAAATAAAAAAAGTATATCTTCGTATATTCAATGTGCTTAAAGCAAGATAAAACAACTGTAAAATTAACTTTCTCACCTTATTTCATACAATATCCCGATGATATAAGGTGTTTTGACACCTTGTGAAATTAGGTGTCATGCCTGAAAGCATTCAAGCTGATAATAACAGCAATTTTAAAATCTAGGTAGGTGTTGACTTTAAATCCTTCTCCAAATCCCTCCAGAGGCGTGCACGTCGCGGAGAAGGCACACGGCAGGTCAAGGTCAAGTCATCTTAAGTACCAGAGGTGATTGGTTGACCTGTCGTGACTAACTCTGGAGGGTTGGCGCTAATGAGAGCCGTTTTTGTTTCCGTCAGTATGGAGCTTGATGCCTGGCCAGTATTGTCGTACTCCTCTACCACCAACGAACGAAGAATAGGCTACAGGAAGATTCAGCTTGAAAAAGACGTCCCCGATGTGACTACCCTAGTGGACCGGCATGGATGCTATATTCTCGGACAGATGGTTATACCGGCGCCGAGTATAAATAAACTTAAACTGACTGACTAACTGACTTTAAATCAGTGGTCTCAATAGTGGGGTCAAATAAGGAACAAAACAAAGAATTGGGACTGAATCTGGTGGTCTTAAAAGTGGATAAGCGAGGTGGTCTTAATTCTGGATCATGTAACCATTGACATAAAGAACAGAAAATTCCGTACTTTTAAAAAATGGTCTCAATAGCGGGGTGGTCTTAATTCCGGGGTGGTCTTAAGTAGGGATTCTACTGTACACAATAAAACAGTGTTTAAAACTATATTCAATTATTTGGTCAGAAAAGAATTGGTGGACCCGATGAAGACATTAAATGTGCCCCACAGTTCGCGGATTGTTTACCGTCGATCGTTTTGTAGCCTTTTTGCAATTGACGTCCTGTCAATTTTCTTTCTGCCTCGCCCTTCTCGTATTCGCCGTTTTTGAATTCTTGCGCCAGCTGAAAACGAGTGTCCTGAGTGTCTCGTTTCCAATGAACATTTAACGTTTGAACCTCGTGTTGTTCAAATAGAAATCATTGTTGAATCCAATCTTATCAACTTAGCTTTGTTTCCATTTTCAAAGTCCAAAAATGTCGATATCAAAATGAAATACATATCGTACCCCCTAAAGCCTTGTTTTGAATTGTATTGTTTTGTATTGATTTTAATACATGTGTTATACTGCTTTATTACATGCTTTTCGGTGGTTTATAGAAATATATCAGTGATATAAAAACTGGTAATTTCACTGCTTGAAACAGTGAAATTACCACTTTGATAATTTCACTGTTTTGAATTTAAGCCCCTTACGTTGTTTCAGTGAAATACCAGCGTGCACAGAACTAGGTACCATTTTAATGACGTGACGTCGTAAATGACGTCACGTTGTATTATTATTTGGCGCGCTTTTCATTCAGTATTAGGTTAAATGTCTTTTTAAAACGTTTCTTTGCATATAATAAAAAGAAAATTTGTTTAGTTTAGTGTAAGATCGAAATATATTTCACCTTGTGAACACCAAAGGTTCATATTTCACTCGTGGCTGCGCCACTCGTGAAATATACCTTTTGGTGCCCACTCGGTGAAATATATTCCGATCTTACACTGAACTAAACAAATATCCTCTATATTTTAAGTAGTTTTTTAACTGTTTGACAATGATTTTTATGCATGTAGGAAATACGCCAACATATTTCTATCATACAGGCATTTCGGAAAGTATTTTTTTTAAATATTGCAACTAAAGATTTGTATACTGCTGTCGGAAGAGATAGCTTTATACACTTTAATAGTTACCACATATTCTTTAAAATTAAGTTCAATGAATTTTCTTCTTAATCCCGAATGTGTCGATACTTTTTTTTAGAGGGCTGAGAAACATTTTCCCGTTATTAACTAATGAAATGACCTTTGTGACTAAATTAAAACTATCTTAGGATATCTTACACTGGCTAAGAAGTACAAAACAACAACATAATTTGCCTTGACGTAGATGTAAACAAACATGGAAATGGGATGCAATATGAGTTAAGTTACTATTTTCCATGATAACTTATTGGTCATAGCAAATAATTGTGTACAGATGAATACATTATCTGCATCAAGAATTGTGAATGCACATACCAAAGCGATGAATACACACTAGGAAATAGTATCTTGTAAGTATAAAAAGTTGTTTTTACGGTTTTCCGTTAGGGCCAGCATATTTACCCAGAGAACGAAAAGCGCGAAGCTCGGGACTACGATGTTGACAGTACGACATTATGCTTTTGACAACACAACAGAATGATGGCTAATATCATGACAGAACCCTGGTTAAGTCCATATTGCGAAGGCAAAGCGTGACGATACGATGGAAAAAAATGATAATACTCTGATAAACTGCGAAATTGTGATCGCCACACTGGTGTGGTAGTCCATTTAAGATATTGCACATGTTTATCCAAAATAACTAAAGTGAAACATATTTAATAGAAATTATTTTCATGCTTAAATATAAATATGACCAGAAAGAAATAAATAAACAAATTATCATGTAATAACATTGATTTCTGTTGATAAAGTGCATGCCCGATAAATTTAGCTTTACCAGTCACCCTCAGCTTTACCAGTCACCCTCAGCTTTACCAGACACCCTCAGCTTTACCAGTCACCCTCAGCTTTACCAGTCACCCTCAGCTTTACCAGACACCCTCAGCTTTACCAGACACCCTCAGCTTTACCAGACACCCTCAGCTTTACCAGACACCCTCAGCTTTACCAGTCACCCTCAGCTTTACCAGTCACCCTCAGCTTTACCAGTCACCCTCAGCTTTACCAGACACCCTCAGCTTTACCAGTCACCCTCAGCTTTACCAGTCACCCTCAGCTTTACCAGTCACCCTCAGCTTTACCAGTCACCCTCAGCTTTACCAGACACCTGATCAATATATGAAGAGAATGGAATATTTTTACCTCTTACTAATGTTAGTTTGAAAGTATTAACACAGATGTAAATAATATGTTATCTATGTCTCTGGTATTAAACATCGAATAGATTTTTTTAATCTTACATTTGACTAAAACATTTGGGACTGTATTTCTTATAAATATGACCCTTGGCATATTACTGCGCGCGGCATGAACTCAGGTTTTTGTTTCATTTGAAATTTTAATAAAGAAACGCATATTAATATTGCAAATATGATAAACAAGTGCCTGATAATATAAAATTTCTAAGGCTTAGCACAAAGCCTCGCCCTTCTTTTTTTCTTGGCCTTGCCTGATAAAGCATGAAAATCAGACGCAAGCATGGTATGCCCAAAATACGTTGATGAATACCTCGGGTGTGGGTTTTGTAATAATTTCTTAAATGAAATAGGCATACATGGATGGTACGGGATATTGTCAATATTGAGCTAGCAACTGCTGTTTTTTTTCTCTCTGGACATAATTATTGGACTATTACTTCATTTCAATTAAAATGGTTAACGTTTTCCTCTATGTTTATATAATATTTTGTGCATGCTTCTAAGGAAGGTAACAGTACGATGGTGAAACGCTATATAGTACGATGACGACATTACGATAAATCTATAGTCGCCACTATACTGTCATGCTTCGGGGTCCGTACTCTCAGTGCCTGAAAGGGCGGATTGACCCTCATTAAGCATATAATACATACTGTCGCACTGTCGTGTTGTCAAGATCGTACTGTCGCGTTTCATCGTCATACTGTCACCATCGAAGGGTTTGTTACGTTCGGCTTTCATGGATTTTAAGTTTTAACGACACTGAGGTCATGTGAAAACATTCCTGCTTTAGTGTAAAGAAAGACCCCAGATACCCTTTGTGAAACATTTCAGACACGAGCGGGCACCTGACTAGTACCACCGACCTTTCGTAAATTAGCTTGATAGATTTCTCACATACAAAGAAAAAAAAAAAAAAAAATAGAGAAAAACAGAATCCCTAAAGAAAGTCCAAAACGCAAAAATTGAAAATGTTGCAGGCTCGGTTTGATTGAGCCTGTCCATGGACGGTACTGGAAAGTGCATGTCGTGCTGAACGATCTTCAAGGATGAAAAAATAACATCATTAATCAAATGTACGGGGAGACTTTGTACAGCCGCAACACGGCACAAATAACACGGATGTCACAATTAAATAGAGAAAAACAGAATCCCAATGATTGGATTTCAACTACAGCAGTAAATGAAAGATGATTTGTAGTCGACGGCCTTATCCCGACTCTGCCATTATTATGTACCTCCATCAGACTCACTAGAGAAGATATTGTAATTGTCTGACCTTAATTTATACTCTATAACTTTCAATATTATTTTCTTTTTCAGAAACATGAAAACTGCAATACAGGATGTCTGAAATAAAAAAAAACGACTTTTAATTTGATAATGACAAAATAATCGTAACTTCAACAAAGAAGCATTCAAAAGACGCCATGATCATGATTTGATTTGAATGCATTTTGGTTCGAGATGAAAAGGGTCTTTAAACATTGCCTTTTTTCAAAATCTATGTTTTGGGTTTTCGTATCCCCGATTGCAACCGAAACCATTTGAACAACTTAATTGGTAGAAAGTCATGTAAATTTCATCATATTTAGTCAAGTAGTTACTGAGCGGATGAGATTGCACACACATATGTACGACAGACGGACGAATAACCATCGGGCCAATAAGCTCACAGAGATTTAAAAGTCTATGTAACATTCATACATTTTACCTAGTATAATTATATAAAAATATCGAAGTCTAAACTGTAACCGAAATATGGGTATAAACTGTAACAAAATTGGATACAAATCGCTAGGTCTATGCTGTAACCCTGCACAAATCAACTCGCTCTATACTGTAACATTGTTTATTTTTTCAAACGCATTTAACGAACAGGAAAATAGGTTCAACTGGTCATTTACTTTTATAAACGTTTCCTAACATGAACACGGGGGGGGGGGGGGAATCACGTGACTTTGTATAGTAATACCCACGAGAAAATGGCTACTGCTGAGCCCCGGTAAGTACCTTATTATGTTAAATTAAGGTGACAAACGTTTCTTAAATCAAAACAAAACCTAGCGTATCATATGCGCGGTAATTTTCTTCAAATGACAATACAAAGTGCATTATCCTACGTTTTGTGGTTTTTGAGAACATTGTTTGAATTGTGTGAAAATTGCACATTCAGCGATAGTAATTCGCACGAAGCGATATAACTTGGTACCAAAATCAATGAAAATAAGCCTTCTTTTTGCACTTAAGACACCAAATCAATCATTTTATTGACATCTGTTCTTGTAGAATTCCATATAAAATTTTGTTCGAAGGTCTGTAGCCTACAAATGTTCTTTGCAAGTGTTTAGTAAGTAAAACGAACAATTTCTGGATAGTAAGTTGCACGAAAACAAAATAGTAAGTTTCACGCACAGTTTCCAAAAGTTTACTAAAATGTGACGAAACTATCTTATAATTCTTTTGGTTACCAATTTGCAAGTATATTCCGTCTACGGTGACAGAGAAATTGGTATACCTTTAGTGAATAAGCATTTTGTATTGAAGTCAAAATACTACTTTGTTTACATTTTGCTACCTTTACGGCACATCACTTAATGCTCAGCGCTACCTTTTTCAGTTGTAATAAAATACTATCATGCGTTTCATCCATTATTTGAACATAATCAAACACATGTTTGGCATTTCTTAAGAATTAAAACAATATGGATTTCTGAGGGACAATGTGACTTTAATAATTACTTGAATCATTTATCATTGTTTTTTTTTGTTGCTGTTGCTTTTTTTGTAAGAAGTTATTTTGTTCTTGTGAATTCTTAAATATATTTTCATAAATAAAGTAACATAGTGACTAAATGTAACAAATACCGCCATATAAAACCAAAATAAAAATCACCATACCAAATAACAAGCAATTTTATTTTCATCTTTTTTATAATTACAGTAAAATTAGGGCCAAGACACACCTGACACTGCAGAGGTCAAAGAACTACTATCGCAACAGAAAAATAACACTGAGCCGTGTAATATTAGTTCCCATCAAAAGTTCATTACATATATTATAAAAACAACCAATTAAGCATTCGTCCTATAGACAAAATGTGAAATATTTGATCTTGAATAATTA